GAAGCGGTGGAAGTAGTATATCTTCAGGAGCTACCAGACTTTCATGTTGCACATTCTTTTCGTCCACTTTCCACCTCCACTTAGGCCATTTTTTTTTACATTTAGTTAGAATTTCTGTCATGACTATCCCACTCGCAAAGAAAACATGCATACTTCGTGTAGCCTTGTTGCATTCCCAATGTCATAGCAATTACTTTGAAGTCTCCACATATTTTCCATTTGTATTCATTGTATTGTAATGAATTTATCATCCTTCATAAGAATTTGTAATTCTCTTTAGTCAAGCTGGCATAAGCAACTGGAACAGAGGGCATTTTATTTCCATTGTGGAGAAAAACACCCTTGAGACTTATTTTCAATGCATCTATGAAAAGTCTCCACTCCTGTGAACTGTAGGTGAAGTTCAGCACCTTCATTAGGCCAGCAACATCATTGTCACGTTCGATTATTACTGCATGCAGCAACATACACATATTTCTCTATAACGTCTGTGTTTGCCATGAACTGTGAATATATACATATATATACACGTTACACAAAAAGTATCCCTGACAACAAAATTCTGTTTCCAGATTTGAATTTTCCATGATAAATTGGTTTAGAATCACACATTTTAATATCAGAAATAGAACCCTTGTCAAACAGTGTTATTATTGTTTGATTCTGTTCGTTTTATGTCTTGTTTTAAATGCATTTTGAGCATAAAGCTTGTTCTTATATTCTCTCTTCTAATGTAACAACGTCAGAAAACACCGTTTTGAAAGATATACATTATTTATTAGAATATTTGTACTATGTTACATTACTCTCAATTATTATGAAATATTAATTTAAATGACTAAAAGTTTTAATTTCAACTACTGTATTTTATTTTAAATTTTAAAGTATGTTTTCAGTCCACAAACATATAACATTTGTTCTGTTTAATAAGTTACATAATATTAGACAACCTGGCAGAAAACTAAAACTTTACCACAGTCTATAGACTAGTACTGATCTGAGGACCATGTTCTAATGTTGTAATTTAAACAGGATTAATTAAAATCACTTTAATGATGCATACTGCAAACATTTTAGAATAAGTGTTAAATATCAAAGCAATTTATATACTGGATTTTAGTTTTCATCTAATAACATAAAATATTTAAAAGAAATCTCCATTAGTAACCCGATAGCGTATTTTCCAAATATCTTTCCAAATATTTTCCAAATATTCCTTTATATACTACTTCTGTTCTCCCATATAGCAAAATGATTCGGTCATTTGCATTATTAAGAGCTAGCTCTTAATAATGCAAATGACCAAATTACTTTGCCAAATGGAAAAGTAGTATAAACTTCTGTTTTCCCTGTCCTACAAAAAAGAGGAAGAAGGGATATTCTGAATCGAACGAAGAGAGCGATATAGACCGAATTATCTGCTAGGTCTTCTCTGGCGATAATACCTCAACCGAGATAACGAGGGAATACCCTCACGTTACTTCTCGTCACTTTGGGAAGTGACTTCCCCGAGAAAGGATTTTCCAGAGAAGTAACTTCGGACAAGACTACTCTACAGGACGTAAAAAATTTGTGGCCCCTTAATTTAAATGTTGGCATTGCTATGCCAACTGTTTGGATTGGGTTTCCCTCTGCACCTACTACTTTTCTCCTTGTGCCAAATTTTACAGGAGCCTCTCCCATGAGTTTGTTAGCCAATTCTTTATATAAGAGCGTGACTTTTTCCCTGGAATCAATTTTCAAATTTTGTGGCGATATTATTAACGTAACCCAGGATTATTGGTTTGCGTTATCCCAGCGAGGTAAGGCAGATTGTTCCTTTCCACCGGGAGTCGTCTTCGCTTTCAAACGAGGAGTGGTTATCTCTGTTACCTCTCGTTCTCTGGCTTCTTCCCTGATTATTCGTCCTTGGTACGGGTCGATAAATACATGCATCTCTTCTCTGACTTGGTGCTGACCGGAAGTTTCTATTACCCTGAGCGTGCCTATCCGTGGCCTGGAGATATCTATTTATCTGGAAATTCATGTTCCGGCGTTCTTTTAATCTTATTTCTAACAAGATTAAAAGAACACATCGCTGATTTGAAGTGTAATAGAATCAACTTTGTTTTTTACGAACATTGTACAAGGAAAGATACGAAATTACTACAGACAAAAATAATATTAACAAGAATCTAAGCATAGAAATTCATAAAAACTGGCTACAACTATTAAAATAGAATGTTTATACAGCCGCAGGTGGGGTTGTGTGGGGCACTCTGGGAATGAGATGTTTCACGCTGCGAGACATGCGGGAGAGGCCGTCAAGTCGGAAGGGAAGGGAAGACGTAACGCGGAAAGTGCCTGACAGACGTCCACAAGATACAACCTACGTAACAGACTGAAGAGGGGCGAAAGCCCGAAACGCGTATCTATATGGATTAAAAGTTGATGATGAAATTATTTGCCAAGTTTCAATAAATTCACCAAGTCGTGACATTGAACGAAACAAAACAAGAAGGAAAAGACACGATTTCGACAAATAATTAAAACACTAAAACTCATTACAGATTAAAGTATAAGTTTAATTCGAATTTTGTGAAAAATTGCAACATACGAAAGCTGCAAGGTATTGTTTTTTAAGCATATGTACTGTACTTTGCATTTGTAAATGTATACAGATTTTTTTCGTTGTCTTAGTTGTTTTTATTGTATAAAAATTAAAAATTACTTGTAATCGGAAATATTAACAAATTTCCAGTCATTTTACTTAATTTGTCCACAGTGTCGAGCGTATCCAATCCACGTAATGGGTTAATTCCGTGTATATTCCCGGTTGTGACTTTTCTCCACAGATGCCACCTGTCGAAACAATACCTACTTGAATCCATCTGCTCTCGTTAAACATAACCAGAGGACCACCGCTATCACCCTACATAATAAACAAATAAACACATTACACACGAATGGCTGAGTGACAATTATCTTCGGCACTTCTTACTTTGCACGCATCGTGACCACCTCTACTGTAACCGGCACATATCATCTTATCGCCAACATTATAATACGGATAACTTTTTCTACAAATATCTCGATCTACTATTGGAACCATGGCTTGTTTCAATACCATTTCATAGCCAGTACCTTCAAGAATACCAAAAACTATAAATTTTAATCTGTTGCAAATGTAATAAAAAGCAAAATAGTACATACCATATGTTTCACCCCAACCTGTGACATAACACATACTCCCTTCAGATATGTCGAAGTCCTTATTAGTAACACATACTGGAGACACATACATATTATTTTCGATGGGAGCATTCAACTTCACTAGAGCAATGTCGTTGGCCATTCTTCGTAACCAAGGAATGGATGCCTGAATTAAATTTAGAAATATTTACCATAACTTACTTCGTTCTCATTTATAATGATAAATTCCAACCGAGCAACACAAAATTTGGCTGAATTGTTACCTTATATGGCTCATAACCGCGATAATCGGGATGAGGATGAATGGATTTAACGTATCGATATTGCTCCGTTTCATCTTTTACAAGTTTATTATGTTTACCGGAAATTACCACCCACAACTCTGGATCTATAGCCCTAAAATAATATAAAATTGTGAGTTTTAAGTTAATTAAATAATTACATACGATGTAAACACGTTATACTTCCTGAAGCAATGAGCAGCTGTTAAAATCCATTGATTGTTGATAAGACTTCCACCACACTGATGACCAAATGGATCCATGTCTGGTTTGACTAAAGATACCTGCCAAGGCCAACTGTTAGGTACCGCTTCTCTTCCACCTACAATCCTATCGTTACCTTTGATTGGTGGAATCACAGGAATTCCGCAATAGGGAGATGGTTCTTTATTGATTGTATCCACTTGAAATAGCATTGAACAAAATTAAACATATATATATGTATAATTACACATATTTTGCACACAAATTTTCATGAAAATTTGTTCAAATTATTTTATAAGGATTATTTAGTATGGCATTTACCGCAATCTTCTTCATCGGTTCCATCAATGCAATCATTTCTTCCATCGCATTTATATTCATCTGATACGCATTTTCTTTGATTGCGACAAGTGATTTCATTATCACTGCAAGAAACTATGCAAACGACATAAAAGAAATTTAAATTTATTTCAAAGATTTTTAATACTACTTGTATTTTTACCTATAGGATCGTCATGCTCAAAGTAAAATCGAAATCCTTCGTGGTACGATCGATCAGAACTATTGAATTTAATATGAAGATGTCTTCCGGTCGAAACGAATCTCCTAAATATCCAGGTACCACAGAAAATCCCAAATAATTCAGAATTTTCGTCTTCTCCGTCATAAACCCGAACACTGGACTCGGAGCATTTAAAGTTTAGACTAAAATCTATGACTTTTATTGTAAGAACCTTAAAAAATAACATTAAATTCATGATTTAAAATTATATAAAAAGTCCTTAAATTAAGAATAATGATGTTTACCTTTCCCGGAGGACTTTCTAAAGTCCAAGAACAGTCAGCAAAGTGTGGAACATAACGAAATTTATTAAAATTTGGAGATATCAAAAATCCGAACGTTTGTCTCACGATTAAAGGTTGATTGGATCCACAAGCAATTGTATTATCCACGGGTTTTAAATTATCAGAAGCTATAAAAATATAAGCGTAACTTCAAAATAATTAATAATATAAAAGCTATTTTTAATTTCTCCTGACAAATGGCACCATAAGCAATTTTTTAACTTTCGACTCATGCCATAATTTTATGTTTTGTTTGTTTTTTTCCCAGAAAACTAATGTTATTCCTCTCTATTTTTTATAAAATATCGAAATTAGAATCCATGCGCCATCCGTGTTATTGTAGAAGAGCAACTGCAGAAATATTTTGAATGATATACTAGATCTGTTTGTTAACGTACGGTATTACAAACAGGGGAATGCCTCCCGAGAGGACTTTTATGGGAAACGGGACTCTATTTAGGTGTTACTAACGTGAAGAAAAATCCACGCGACCAGCCCATTACTGACACTAATCTTTGTTTCCTTTTACTAAATTGAATTTTAATGTAAATTACTCAGAAACTCTAAATTATAAAAGCCAAACACTAATTAAATGGCTTAATTTTTACAATATTATCTCGAAATACAGTAGAGCGTCGATTTTCCGAATCAATTGGGGACTGGGGTTGTTCGTATAACTGATATTTCGGATAACCGATTTATGTACGAAAAAGTAGTTTAACGTATCCGATAGGGGAACACGCGAACCAAAATAAACAAATTTTACTTTAATTTTAAGTTATTTTTGTATTAACGCCAGAAAAGTGTCCCGTAGATTTACTTAACAAGGAGATTGGAGGGAATAATTATTGTTTAGAAAGAGAAACAAAGACTTCGTTTGTCACAGTAGAAGAAGCCAACAGAGGCAATGGCAAATCGACGGTTAAATCGCTACCGACTCCTTTTCCTTCGATTTAATCGATTAATAAATGTTTTACCACTCGATATCGAGTACTATTTTGCGTTATTCCATACATAGAAAATCATAAAGTTGTACATTTTGTGTAATTTATTACATTTGATATTCAAGAAAATACTTTTGCACTTTTTTTTGGCACGAAAAGCCTAAAAATAATGGCGTTGAAACAGTTTTATTGTCCTGCCATTGTCGCATTTACGCACGTAAAACACTTTGTTTTTGTTGAAATTGTCAAAAAAATTGTTTTTCATATAGTTTCGTTGGTTGGGAGGGGCAAGGCTACGAGACATCTTAGTTTAAACATAACAACTCTTACGTCATCTACCCTCGTACTTTCATACCGATTAAAGAAATTTATAACTAAAACTGCAACGAGAAAAACGCGAAGGAAAATACTTGCAAATTTTTCTACAATTATGCCTCATTGCAAAAAGGTAAAAGCGCCAAAACCGGAAGCACGGTTCTGGGAGGTTAAAGAATCGTGTCAATAGATAAAGCGTGTTCTTTTGATTTTCAAATTTTATTGCATTAGTATTATTGTCTTGCGTAAGTTAAGAAATGGAGACTCCACACAACCCTCAAAATGGTGAGTCGCGCCCAATCTTAGTCGTTAAGAGAAACTCAGATTAGGGGAATTTGCGCAGCACTTAACTATGGGTACATAGTTAAGTGAGAAAAAGTAATTTATTCATAACTGATAACACTGTCTCGATTGTTGTGTCTTAATCTGCCTAGGAGAATGACTTTTTGGAGGACTTTCTGTGGGAATTGGCTCCTATTTAGCTGTTACAAAACTAAAAAAAATTGATTTTGCGCACTACTAAAGCCCAAGAAATGTTTGGTCTGGCCTGGATATGTGGGCCTCCCTCCTCACCGTTCGACCACCCTAATGTGGATCTGGCCGATCGCACCTTAGTTTTTGGAATTGGAACACTCTTTCTTCAGTCAGTGTGAATACGGTTAAACAACGTGTTAACGACAGTGGTAACTTTTGTATCCGGCATAAATCCTTGATAGCTTCGTAAATACTCGCGGCAATTATCGTAATATTCAAATAACAAAATACAGTTAAGTGAAATCTATTTATTTTACTTTATTAAAATATTATGCTTTGCACAAAAGAGAATTTCAAAGACCACACCTCAAAAATCATCAAAAAGAATCTACTGTATTCACTTTTTCCTCCCGTTTTACTCTCTGAAGTCGGCATTACCTTGGACACAGCCCATTAAATTGTCATTTGCGTTTAATATTTTAATTCCCAGCTTCCTCTACCGTTCTGAAAGAAAGATAAAGTGAAAATTATTTAAATACTTTTCAGATTGCCCTGGCCTTGGCAGATCGCCCACGTATCGCGTTGCAGTATACAGACAACGATCCTGTCAGTGTTATTAGTTATCCTTTCGTTCATAACTACGGGTACCGTAGCTGCACCAATTCCCAAATTTCGGTTTCTCTTAACGACTACGAAAGGACGCCACTGAGAAATAAATTCTTATTCTTTGTAGTCTCCATTTGTTAACATACACGACAATAATAATAATGTAATAAAATTGAAGAATCTAAATAACATGGCTTATGCATGGACACGATTCGTTAACAACAACAGCGTCAATTCATACTATCGCGATTTCAACAGCGAATTTATGCCGTGACATCATTACTATGAAAAACAGAACTCGAAACAGTCAGAAAATTGATTAAAAGGTTAATTAAACAAATTATTTCCGTGTGTGCGAGATTTTGTTGTGGGATTGAACCGTCATCTTGAATCTTATGTCATTAAACTTGCCCTCCTCTTCCTTTCGTCGGCACTGTTCAATACAAATTACCCCATTATTTCCCCACCCCTCGACCTTTAATCTCCAAAATTTCACAGCATCCATTTCCCTAATAAACAAACCTCCCTGAAAAATTTCAAAAATGTTGGATAAAAAGCACAGGAGTTATTAAGCTTCAAAGAAGTAAACAAAACCTTACCCCCCACAAACAAACATCCATTATATACAGACATTACCCCGAAATTTTCCCTTTTCTTGACGTTTCAAGATATCCTCTGTCCAAAAATGTGAAAATCTTGGTGGTTCATTTTTTGAGCGATCGACATACTTTTCCTGTTATATATAACAACCAGGAAAGTAAAAAAATAAAGAAAAAAATTCAAATAAATGTTAAACACACTAAGAACAAATTGGTAATTATCATTAAATTATATTTGGATAATTAGAGCTGTAAATTATTCTTATCAATATAACTTTTAAAAATGTTTTCGTGTGAATGTGTCTGGTGTACTGTACTTAAGTGATAAAGAATGCTTTATCTCTTTCTCCTTATTTCTTATATTCAAGCTTAACTAGTGAAGTAATAAAATTAATTAGCCTCCTCGAACTTAACCATAGTGGAATTACCATACGTTCATTGTAAATTCTGATTACATTCCTAGAAATACATTGTTTCAATTATGACACATTATTAGCATAAAGTGAATTACAAAAGCTCAAAATTCCTTTCCATTAATTTCATTAGTTTGGACTCTTAATTATACAGCAACATTTATCTTTGCTTCCTCATATAAACATCAAATCTAGCATTGATCTTTCTATGATAAACCAAAGATAAGCATTGTTTTCTATGGTACCTCAAGATCCTCGCGATTTTATGAACTGTGTATGGATCTTGGATCCGTCCACAATCTTGTACAGCAATTATGAAAGTAACTTCTACAATGGTTTCTGTACCTTTACAACACCAATTTGGAGCATAAACATAAGAAACTTTGCCAATGTTGCAACTTTTCTTAAATGCTGATCTCTAATTCATTCAAAATATTCAACTAAACTCGCACCATGTGGATATGTTTGGTTTCTTTATTGAAATTAAAAGTACCCTGTTCAATTATACCTTTTTAAACTTAAATTCTGTAGCAATATAACAGTAATAAAAGCATACAACTACGCAACAAATATTAATATATACTGGTATAAAAGTACTTACCTCTACATAAGATAAAAGTGTAAAGCAGGAAGAAGACACTACCAATTGTATTTGCTGTTAGAATCATCTCGGCTAACACACAATAATACCAAAGATATGCATTTATATACATTTTATCTCTAGCAAACATCTGTTTATTCCCATTCAATTTAAGTCATAATGTTATAAATATTACAAAATGGTTTTGCAATATTACAATGGCCTTTGACCTCTACTTTAGAGGTTTTGTAGTTACATTTAACCTGCATAGAATGATCTTATATTCCTCCATTGTAAATGAAATTTCAAAAACCCACCCCTTCTATTCCAAAATCTGATAAAGTTAATAAATTTCAAATTATCTAAATTATTATGAAATATATGGAAGATAAAAAAGTGAAACTGATAAACTTAGTTTTATTTTTTTGTATTCTTCAATTAAAAAATAAATGCTTGTACATTTAAACTTAAAAATAAACTAAAATTTGTGTTTTAAATTCGTGGTTACAGGTCAACAGGGTGAGAAGATAAAGGGGTTAAGGTCAGAAATTTCTCATAATTTGACAAAATTACACCTGTTAAGCTTTTGTCATTATTTCGATTTTAAATTGTAGTGATAATTTTGATTACGGAGTTTGTAATAGTCCCTTTATTCTACTGTTTGAGCTGAGCGAGAGCTCTTTCCACAAGATCTGGAAGCTGGTGAGTTTACATTTATTTTACTTGACAAGAATTCTTACGTTAAAATAAAGCATTAACACATTTAATCTGTGGGAAAGTTGAAAAAAATACCAATTTTCAATCATATTAATGGGCCATTTTCAGGTATAAGAGGCCTGTCAATACTGAATGTGAAATACAGGATACTTTAAAGAAGTGAAGGATGAACTGTGATGTTATCGGATGGTGCAGCAGACTTTCTCACTGCTTGTTTACTTAAACGTGTCTTTCCCATCTGGCATTGGCATTCCTCGTGTCTGTTCAAACCCGAAGATGGTCCGATAAGCAGGTTAAAAAATGTAAACCAGCTATTTAAAACAGTAAAACGTTTCTTTTAAAATCTCTGTCGTTTGACGGATTCTTCTGAAATCGTGCGCAACACTTGAAAGAGTTTGTGTGTGGTCTACTTTGGAACTTCTCATTTCTTCAGCTGCTTGTTGTTTTTTTCTAATTTAGTAATTTTATTACATACCATTTTATAAGAAAATATTGATGTAAGCATTAAATAAAACAATACATAAACAATAATTCTTACTTTTGGATGTAATGTGTTTCTATAAATGTGTACAAAAATCAAATAGAATTGCAGGTTATAAAGAGAGTTCTGTTCCCAAAGCTATAAAAAATAAGAAAACTTCTTTGCGGGATAGGAAAGTATCGGTTTAATATAGTGAATATGTTAAATGAATAAAGCATTATAACTACAGATTAAACAGCAGACAAAAAATATTCAGAATCATACAATAAACATATACATAATGCTACAAAATGACAAAGAATCTATCAACCCACTGCATATCCCCAGTGTGTATAAAGTTACAGTTAAGTTCATTGTGTAACTAAGAGATCACTGAACATAAGATTAAAGAAACAATAAAATGACATGTGAAAGTTTAATCCAGCCACTCCGCTGATTGCTTATGTTACATCCAATTCCAATTAACTTGAGCCAGGCCAAAATCATCCAAAAAATATGTGGTAAGCATCACATCTAATATCCAAAGGCATTACACATACACTGAATATTCATTTTCACATAATTAAAACCAAAACTGACAGAAAGTACTATCTGACAATATCTCAAAGTGTTCACACTCATCAGCCGAAAATGTAAAAGTCTGAATTTGCCATACTTAATCAATCTGGAGATATCAAAGTATCGTGACCAAAGATGAAGTTACCCAAAAGACAGAGAATGCTCGAATTCAAAATAATGTCTGTGGAATAATTTTATTAAAATAGTTACACTATTTACTTTTCGGATAGAAAAACATTGTGCCCAATCAATGAAATGGAGTTTTATAGTTTTTTTTTTCTTTTTTGTGTCTTTAACATCTAAGTAGGAGCCAGTTTCCCATAGAAAATCCCCCAGGAAAAGATTTCCCCCTTGACTCAAGTATTGTATTTACCTATCCCATTAATCTAATCCTAGATAAATATCTAAATGTTTATTGTTTAATTCTAAATACTACTGGAAAAGAAATTATGAAACATGTTTAATAGATACGTACAATATACGATAATTTATTAATTATTAATGCATTAAATCATCTTCGTTTCTTCTTATGCTTATCTCTTTTTCTTTCTCTTGATCTGGATCTCGATCTGGATCTGGATCTGCTAAGATGTTTTTTGTGTTTCCTTTTCCTCCCGCCGCTTCTCTCTTCGTATCTGTCATAAGAGCTGCTTCCCTCCCTTTTGCCACTTCTATCGTTGTACGAGCCACGGAAGCCGACTCCCTCTCTGTCCCGGGTCGACTCGGGATTGTCTCTTTTGTGTTCATGAGCATTCTTCGGAGTCAACAGAATCGGCTTCTTGAAGGGACGATCTCTCCCTCCGAACCTCAGTTGGCCGGATTCCTTCTTTCCGCCAAATCCCCCTCCTATTATAATATAATCTAAAATTATTTACAATTGTTAACTTTCAAAAATACAACTTTAAATGCGAGACCTACCGAGCCGCCTCGGTACCCATCCGGGAAGCGTTCTCGAACATTCGAAATCGACAAATATGCTATTTCCGTCCAATTCTGCCCTGTAAGCTCTTCTGTGAGCTTCTAATGCACTTATTCTGTCTTTATACTCCACAAAAGCATATCTTTTAGAAAAACCCGTCACAATGTCTCTTATCAAGTGACACCTCTTGATCTTGCCAAACGTCGAGAAAAACTGATTAAAAAAAATGTTTATTTACATTATAAAATGTACATTTGATTTTTAAAATATTTCCAAATTTAAAAATCATACTTTTTTAATTGTTTCTTCGGTCGTCTGAGGATTTAGTCTGGCTACAAAGATTGTTAATTTTGGATCATTTGTAACACAATCGTAAGGTCTGTATTCAACCTACAATTAAAAATATAAATACAAATAATGATATAAAATTCAACTTAAAATATATTTTTGGGATATCAAAATATGTTTACATTAAATTCACAGAAATTTATTATCTTGATTACCCCAAGAAGTATGCAGAATCCATATCTGCGACGATAGGAACCAGCCATTAATGCTTGTTTAATGTAATGGTTACTTTGACAATAAATGGCCAAATTGAATCCAAATGCAAGCCTTTATCTCCATAAAGATAAGAATTTTTCTGCGCTACTCAGTTTTTTGACAGCCTATCTATCTATGCTAAGTTTACACAAATCCTTACGATTAGCCACCTACAAAAATTTATGGCTACATCCCTTTAATGACTATTACAGCATAAAAAATAATTAGATTTTTATTCCTTCTAGGTATTCTGGCATCTCACGAGTTGAGAATAGTCATAACATATGCAAAAATTAAACACAGATCTAAACACCCTAGTTTTATAGAAGTCATCCAAAACCTTAAAAATTGTCACCTGAGGTGGTACACAAAATCCAACTAATAGAAACATAATAAGTGGATACCACCAGGTTATATAACACTATATGAAAAATAAGTGATAGAAGCCACAAACTAAACTACTCATTTCCTTTCAATCTACTCTTAAATGGTATAATTACTCCTCCAAAGGAGACAGTCGGACCTCATTGGAGCCACAGATCACATCCACAAGAGCAAAAGACTCAAAGGAACGACACATCCATACCTGACCCTCGGCTAGATACAACCCTCCAAAACCAGCCCACTTCCAGATCATGCGCAATCGGGAGTCACGTCACCGAGATTATCACGTTTAACCATTCAGCCCACATAACGTCAGCTTTGAGTAATCCACTAGACGGTTTGAAGAGTACTCGACATCACATAGCTTTAGGAGTACGGGGTTCACACCCCACATGATGCCAGGGTGATCTCCATTGCTCGCACAGAAGCACACCCATGGAACTTCACGGTACATCGACTGAAACTCCATTCCCGGTTTTTGAGGCCAAGCGAGCCCCGAGCACAACCACCGATCCGACATCAAATCACACCATTGAAATCACGCCACATAATGTACCGGTACGCCCATTTTTATAGCTTGTGCCCTCTCTTTCTCGTTGTCTGCGGGCGCCGCCGAGGGCGACACATACCGCTACGGCTCTTCTGACTCTTCTGCTCGTACAGGGGGTCTACAATTCGGGGAGTAGAAAACCTCTCATTCAGAGTTCACATCTTGTCCCTTAAACATTTCCAGAGTTTTATATAATGCAAATGATCTATCCAGAATGTATTAAAGGCACAACTTCCACATTATTGTCGAAATAAAGCCATTATATATATTTTGTAGTAAATAACTACGTAATATATACAGAATATCGGCTTAATAAGCATATCATTTTACTAAAAATACGCAGTTTTAAAGAAGAAACGTGTGATTTTCTGCACTCACCTCCATGGCTCTGACCACTCCGTGATCGTGAGGTTCCGTATCCGTCCCATCGATGCTGCCGGCTTTTAAAGGATCGTAAACTCTGGCTATCGGAGACCAAGAATCGTTCATCGTCACACTCTTTAACACGCATTAAACTGAAAGCGAAACGAAAGCTCGAACGGATTGTCCCTACTCACCACGACATAAACACTGTCAATTTCGGGAACAGTGCTGCCACCTGAATTTCCATTTTATTTTTACTTACAAAAAAAAAATTAATTTTTTTTTTAGCTGTAAAATTATAATTATTTTAAAACACTATGTATTATTATCATTTTAAATTTTGAACATTAATGTGTTTTCATTTCGCACTTCAGTCGCCATTAAAAATTCATTGGTTTATTTTTGTGCTTCCGACTTAATTGTTACTGTATTTCATGATTGTAATTATTTTAATATATCGAAATAAATATTTGATTTTAAATTTAAATAGTGATACGTTACCATTAGAATTAATAAGTATGGAATAGGCGTGTTTGTTCTATTATTCGGGCTAACAAGCCGCCATTTTTGGTCCTTTACTTCAATATCAATACCCCCGCGTTTCTTTATGCAGCGAGAGTGTAGCGAAATGACGTCACGAGCAATGTTGGCCAATTAGAAACCAGTTTCAGTTAAGGCGCTAGATAACCTAGCGCCTTAGTTTCAGTGTGTTCGCTGTAAAGCGCTTCTCGAGCGCTGCATAAAGAAACGTGGGGTACGCCATCTTTGTTGAATAAACGCCGATTTGTGCAAAATCTGCGTTTTTGTTTATGTTATAATTGAAAATGAATAACTTTTCTGTACTATTTTTAATCGTAGAGTTTTCCCATTGTTTTTAAAACTTTTTTATATTCACCTTACGCATTACCTTAGATTTCGTGCAGCAAAAGAACCGATTTACGTTAAACTTAACGGGAAGAACCAACCAGTGTTCAAATGTTGTGAGGAACGGACAATGCGTTTTAGATGGCATTTCCGCAAAAATATTCATGGAGGTTCGCCATCTAGAATTAATTCCTCCTCCTTTGGAGAAGGAAACTTATGCCGCTACCATCAACGCCACGTATAGGGTCACCGAAATATCTTAATCCATCACTGCCTGGAAACAGAATAAAGCAACTCCTTATGGCAACGTTGCATTGAAGTAACAGTACATCTAGGAATATGCAAACAATCGTGTATCAGAGATTGATTTATATAGAAGGTCCAAAAGTATGGTCACACATTTGAGGTGATCACAAAGCCTGTGTCCCATTTAATCAATGGGAAAATTTTGGAAACTTTATAATGGGTGCAAAATAGGTATCAGAGATTTTAACATATTGGTTATTACAATAGTTGCTGTTAGTTATATACAGATGTATTAATTCTATTATGCACACCATGCATAAACAACATATACTTTGGTTCTTACGTGGGTGCAGTCGTCTGATCAATTATATCTGTCCAAAGGTATCATGCCTTTGCAATTTGACTGCTATTTAGGCACACCGATACAGCATCCGTAAATACAGAAGCAAATGGGGCAATGCACGTATCACTCGTGAATTGCTTCATTTGCTTCTGTCCACTTGTGGACATCCGTGTAGCATAGAATCACTGATGTGTTTCGGTATATAAGGGACATCACATTTTACACTTGTTACCAAAAAGCTCGTTTGTACACCATATACTTGTCATTATGATTTAACGGTGCAAAGCTGGTTTTTGGTGACACGGTGTGAGCCTGAGCCAGTTGGAATCTATGGCAATCCGAATATCACAAGCTACTGGAAATTCCCAACAGTGTAATATTAGCACTCTCCAGAACTCAAAATGCTATTGTTTGTCCAAAATGCAAGATATCATTGAAGCTGTAGTCAGATAACAGCATCACAGAATTCGAGCTGGCCAAAAAAAGCCACTATCTTAATCCAAACACCTGAGATGAACTGGAGTGCCAAATCCGAGCTGACAGATGCAGTGATTACAGAATGATAGAATATACCAGTAAGTCATGAAAGAACTCGTAAAAATGATATCTCAAAGAATCAACACCATTATAAAACAAAAAGTTTGATTTGATCTGGTTTAATGGAATACGGCAACACAAAACCTGGGTGCTATGCCAACGGAGTCTTTTATGAGAAGCTAGCTCCTACTTAGGTGTTAGACACATAAAGATAAACCAACTCTATGTGGCCAACCCATTGGCAAAGAACACACCACCACTAATAGCGGTCAGTGGTTTCATTCACTCAACTGGTGGGATTAAAAGCAAAAATGGCAGGCAGAGTATCAGATTCTGTATGACACTGCAATCACAATTTCATATTAATGAATAGATTTCTCTATTGATTTCTAATGCCGTAGACCAATGAAGAAATCAATCCGAAATATAAATGCTTCTAACATAAAGTGCATTACAAAGAACTAGGTGAAGTTATTACGATAAAGCGCGCAACAGCATTTTATAACTGCTTGATCCTAAAGTTTGACTTTAACTTAAAGAACTTGTATAATTAAATCACATACCAATTTACAAATTAAAAAAACAATTTTCTAATCTTTTATTAAAAAGCTTTATTCCATAACATTGAAGTACAATTGATGATTTTGAAATAAAATGAATTTTTTTAACGCAGTGTTTACTGGTGAAAACTTATTAAAATGTCTGGGATGAATACAAGACACATTTTAAGACAATAATCGAAATACAGATGAGAATGGCACACTGTCGCTCTGACGGCAACAATTTCGAGCACCCGGTGGAACTGGAAATTTCGCCGCAGATCACGAAGACCAAATGTCGGCCCGGATAAATATTACAAAAATATATGAACGACTCGAGGGCTCGTGATGATGGAAAATTTTAACATAATTAATTTAGAAAAATGTGTAATCGTCATAAAAATCTAAATCAAAATAATTAATTTGTACAAAGAAAACAACAGATCCAATGGCAAAAAACAAGTAAATTAACTCACTCAAATTATTATATATAAAAAATAATAATAAAATTACATTTACAGTTTCTACACTAAAAATATTAACAATTTTTTTTGTGTTTTTATTTTATCCTGTGTTTTCTCTACCTGGTTTCATTTTTAAAACATCTGTTTTGCTAGTCTCGACCAAAACTAAGACAGGCAGTAATTTCCTGATGAAATTTAATGACTAAATAAAATGAATTTTGAATCGATAATAATTTTACCTGCCATAGTTATGTCGGAGTTAAGAGAACAGGAGGACGAAAATGAACGAGGGGGGCGTCGGGACAAAAATAAGTATGACGCGTGTCACGAGGAAGTAATTTATGAGATTTCTCGTTTGACAGAATTCACCAGTAATGTTGCACTGCTAGTAAAAACATCTGACAGGAAACTGTATGATGTGTAGATAAGCTCCTTCTCACTGAGGAGGAAACCATCGGAATATGCGTAACAAACTGGCTGATCACATGATGCTACACCGTTCTTGTGGGTTGTTTGGATCGCCCTGAAAACAAATTTTAATTTTAAGTTCAGAAATTTATAATCAAAATCACTTAGAATATAATATAAAACTTTCTCAAACATTTGGTGAAATATTTTACTTGCTTTCTGACTCCCATATTTAAAATTGATGTTTCCCCGATAATTGTTGCAAAATAAGCTATACATAAATACAAAGCCAGTAAAGTCAAACTTTGATTTAACACACCATCTCTCCACCTCCAAAACTGGACTAAACTAACTACGAGTGGCACAGAAATGCATTTCATGACGTTCTGAGTTTGTGAATGGTCATTTTGGGGACCTGTTACGCCATAGGCAAGACTTTTGCATTTTATTCGACAACAGATCATTTTCAGTGGATTGTAAAAGTCACTTCCAAGTGTATGCCACCATGACGTTTACTACTTTTGCAGCTGAAAAATTTCATAGCAATGAAACTCCAGAACAATTTGACACTTCTCTGAAAAACTGAGTCCACAATCAGTTATCTGTACCTATCTTAAACAATATGCCATTGTGTGCCCAGTAGCCGTACAAATAAAAAATCAGAAAAATGTGCTTTTCTAAATGTATTTTAATGGTAGCAAGCCTTTGTTGAGACGCCCTTAAATCCGTTAAAAGTCAGTTTGGTATGCTTTATGGGCAGATGGAATCATTGGCCCATATTTCTTTAAAGATGATGCCGGCCAGAATGTTACTGTCAATGGAGAGAGCTATAGAGCCATGATTGCTGACTTCTTTGTTCCTCAGTCGAATGGTATTGATGTGGCAGAGCTTAGTTTCAACAAGATGGCACAACATGCCACACCATCGCGGAAAACATTCCATGAGTAAATAATTTTGCATAATGGACCTATGAACTGGTCTCCACGATCGTGTGATCTCACACCTATGGATTACTTTCTTTGAGGATATGTGAAGTCACTAGTCTACGCTGATAAACCACAGACGTTGGACCACTTGGAAGTCAGCATTCGCTGCATTATTGCTGATATATGGCCCCAGTTGCTCAATAAAATGGTCGAAAATTGGACTTCCTGATTGTTCTTCATTCGAGTCAGCCGTGGTGCCCACATGCCCGAAATCATGTTTAAACACTAATGGCATAAAATTATCTTTTAAATAAAGACAATACCGTGGCCATTAACATTATTTTTATGTGTTTTTATTTCATTTTAAATTTGTATACCTCTAAAAAAAACACCCATTACATGCCAATTATCAAACATTATAGCTATTTCAAGTTTTGGTTGAAATCGGCTCCATTGTCGTGAACTAAAATTGCAAATTTATCAAAGAAAATACAAAGTGGAACCCATGGTTCTATGGGGTATACTTTTAAGCACTGCAGAATAAGCTTGTCAAATTCTGTGAAACATGTTTCCGAGCCTTCTCTTGTAAATGTGGCGCTATACCAATTATCTCAAACTGAAAATAATGTAGAGAAAGGGAGATCTACACTTTGAAACTCAAATTTAAACCCTCCATCATATTTGGCAATAATGTCATCTACAATGGAAAATTGTATATTTAGTAATTCATTGTTATCAAAGAATTCTCTATTTAATATTTATGAGTATTCATTGATACTTTGTACAGGTACTCTGTTTTTCATTTTTGATTCTTGTGCCCCTGGGTACCAGGTCTTTCTTCCCCATTGACCAAGTCCACAAAGCAAAAAGAACCAGGTAGTAAAGGATGGGCTTAACTATCCAAGACAGACTATCCATGAAAAATTCTTGGGAACTTTTCACTGTCCAGATTCAATCTCGAATGTGGTACCCCAAAGTGGTAGGTTGACATTTCAACTATCTTGACTAACTGGCCATCTTACAAAAGTGGTATTATTTATGGATGTGCTATACAAGTTTTGACTGTATTTTTAAATTTTAAAACATTAATTTCTACAAAAGAATTATGTATTGTAATTTTATTGATTTTTGTAAATTATTCTCCTATTAATATTCTTTTGATTTCTGTCCCTTTTCCCTTACTCAATTACTCAGAGAAAGTTTCAAGTTTCCTCACGTATTCTCAGGAATTATCTGAGAATATATAAACAAATTATTTAAATTCATTACTTAATAAAAATACATAATTATAAATTTCTATCAAGGAATTCTTTCATTATACTCAATTATATTCATACCTGTTGATGATATATATCTTCTCCTGTGACGTGAATTTGCTGATCGAATACGGAACCGGATTCCATTGTTCTTTCAGCAATAGAACTGTGCACCTTCTTCATTGTTTGCCTAATGGCCATTTCCTATTGATTTTATTTTTGAATTGAAAATGATTATTTGTATTAATTAATAAAACGACCAGTATAACAATAATGTATAAAATTATTCACTAAATTAGAAGAAATGTCTTCATTTTATCCTTTTTAAAATACCTTTGTCTTTAGGACGGAGTCAAACTTTTATTGGAAGTTACTCGTCGTCCAAGCAGAAGAGTTGCCTCTAATAAAAAGTTGACTCCACAAAAAAACTTGCATTTCAGTGTTTCGAAAAAGACAAAATATGAAAACGTTGCTTCTAATTTAGTAAAACAATTATTTAATTTATTAAAATACATTTGAAAATTTACCTCTCCATTATTATTCATTAGAGTAGTGATCATGTCTTCTCCAACAAACCATGTCTGACCTTTCATGACGATATCAGAAGGTGGGTTATGACTGGCACCACTTTCTGCACTCCAGACCTGAAGTATACAATCATTCATTTTGTACAATGAAATGTTTATTATTATTCATCTTAAACAAATTTCGTTTAAAAACTTACTGTAACGTATGTATTAGGTTTGATGACAATGCTTCTGTGGAATTTAAAATTAGTCTCTTTGTCGCCAGCGTGACGAATGATCTGCCATCCACCGATTGGAACTTCCTAAAATTAATTTTGTAAATTGATTAAAATGAATTTATTAATAATTTGACTTATTTGTATACCGTACATCATAATAATAAAAGAGGATACAAAGAATTGCATTAAATAATGAACAATTAAACTCTTGATTAGGGTAGTCCACCCTCCCTCAGATCACAAAACCAAGTAGTACTTTAAATAACAATGAATATGAGCTATATACTTATAAAATAATTTCATTTACAACACAACTAAATCCTGTCAATGGTATATCCATTCAAATTGGTGGAAATTCATCTACACCACTAATACATAGCCAGCATCACTTTCAATAATATAAAATATGGACAAACTGAACTAGGCATGAAAAGTATTTTAAAACAATTTGCTTATAACAATCAATTATTTATTGTGACATCATCACAATGCCAGGCTGCAATTTTTAATCATATTTTTAATTCATTTAATTTAAAATATATTCTCTCCCCACCTCCAATTACTAGTGACCAGTCCCCATACATCATACTTCTCCTTTAACAATAAGTCATGCCAGTTGTATATGTAATACATTTCAGGAGTAAATGTTTGAATTGATATAATGTGCCTTCCGATTTGCATTGGAAGTTCTTATATAGTTAACAATTCTACTTTAAATGAGAGACGTATATTCAATCTCCATGACGTAACACTGGAAGGAGAACCTTCAACTGTGAAATCTGATAATTCATTAATCAATTGATTAGTGAATTGATTAACCATAGATATAATAACAAATTATGAAGCAAGTGGAATCTTATAAAAACAATTTCTTAATCTTCTTCACAATCCAAGGAAATAGAAATGAAACATCAAAGAATAATATTCCTAACTGAATACTTATTGAATAGAATATGCCATTATTATATAAGCCAACTATTAGTGTTAAAATCTCTAAATTACTGATTTACATGATAAGCTATCACCAATATCTTATCAGTTAATTGCAATACAGATGGATTTGCCTTGCTTGAACGTATGTGATACTTTGATTTAACAAATGAAAACTGTATCACAGAAAATCTAAGTTTAGAAAATTTGCTTATCATTGAACTTTCAAATCACTCGACAACAAAATTGGAATGACATTAGGTTGCAGTTTTGCCATTCTCGGATGAAACAAATGCTCTCGTGCACGCTTGGAACTGCTGTTGAGTCGTATTCTGACATATTGCAAAAACATTTACACTACTGACAAATCTTGTCCTAGTATGTTTTGCGAATGACAAAGTGTCGGCAACTGTTATGTTGTGTAAACCAATCTTAAATATTTGCAAATATTTAAATACAGGATGTTTCACATATTTTAGACAAGAAAGATTAAATGATTATTTATTCAAATTTAATGTGTAAAGAATTATGAGAAAGAATATAGAATAATATTAGTGAAAATATAATACTTACTTTGTTTCCTTTATTGAATAATTTCACATATTTTCCCTCCATGTCATGCTCGAATATTTCAACATCGCCCTTTGCCGATGCGGAAACCTGATGGTCACTAGAACTCTTGTGCTCGCACTGACTCATTATGGTGCGCTTACGTTTCGTGCCCCGCATCGGTGTTCGTCTGACAGGCGTGCTGCGGCTCTGAGCTACGACTTCGGATATATTGGGACTTTTGGTAACCGAAATGTTTAATCTAAAAAGAAATAAAAGATTTAACTTTCTGCATTATTTTATCATATAGACATATACACTAGTGACTCAATATAAAATGCTATGATAAAATGTGAACATGACCATAACACAATAAACCCGTGAACTGCAACTTATCATTCCTCTTTGTATTCCATTGCTTTTATTTGATCTTATCGTATACCGTCGAGTTAAATGGGCAGTTGACAAGTTCACAATAAACTGGCATAATTTGCATTATTTTGTATTCATTGCCGGTAAACACTGCTTCAGTCATCGTGATATGGCAAAAGCCAAAACAAAACAGATTTTACAAAGTATCCGAATAAGGTTAATGATAAGTCAATAAACAGAAAGACATGACAGGGTATATTAAGTCACCAGTGTGTAGATGAGTAAAATCTAATTAGTATTTTTATACTTTGTCATTACCTTGATTCTTCACCTTCCAGAAGTTTTCTGTAAGCAGCAATTTCCAAGTCCAAAGCAACCTTGATGTCTAACAGATCCTGATATTCTTGCAGCTGACGCTCCATCTGTTCTCTCAGCACTTTCAGTTCTTCCTCTTTTGCCTGTAGAGCTGCCTGATGCCACTCTCGTTCTTGTTCCAGAAGACGTTCCAGGTCTCTGACTCTACTTTGCAACGAGGCATTCTGCATTAAAATAATTGCTTTCAATTAATTTGTATATATTTCTTGAAAACAAACTATACACTAAAACTCAAAAAATGTCACACAACTGGCCACATCAGAGAGCACAAACTCAACACCAACTACCGATGGGTTGACGGTTTTATCCTTTCTGCCACCAGCGAGTCCAGGTGCCACAAAATGTACTGATGAATGACTCTATAACACCTGTTAGAACCACTCGAAAACCATTTGGCCTAGAGTTTTTCGTCCAGAATTTTTAAAATTATTTAACCCGTCGGCACGCGCCTAGTGTCGATTAGGCACCAATCGATTTTTAATTAGTTCGTGTAAAAATCCTAATTGTATGAAAAATCTGAAAAAATTATTACCTGTCTAATTTTTCTTCAATTTTACGATGCGCAATTCAGTTTTTGCTTAAAGCGTCTCATTTTTTTTATTTAATTATTGGTGCCGAATCGGCACTATGGCGCGCGTGATCTCGGATTTCAATTTTCAAATTTCCCGCCAGTCGCTGTTACTAAAAATAGCTGCAGCTACGGCGCGCGCTTCTTCGCTTATAATCGCGTTATTATAAAGCGAATAACTTCTAAAAAACTGAAATTTGACCGAAAATAATTTAATTTCTTTCATTGGTATTTTTTAATCATTTTATAAAGTTTTATGACACCATCACATTTCCCTGAGTGGAAGTAACCAATTTGTTAACCATTTGACCCTCGGCTGACAGAGAAGGAAGTTTTTGAAAACAAAGTAATAGAGCGTTTAGCAGTTTGTTGTTTTTCACAGTGGAAGACTAGTAAGTTTATATAATAGACTCTAGTAAGACTTATTAGAGTCTATTATTTTCCAGAGAATAAATAATAGAGTTGAAAAATAGCACAATTCCGTGAAATTTAACAAATCTGATGTCAATAAAGGAAAGTTGAAGTTATTTATAGTGAGTTGATATTTTATAAGTTTAGTTTTTGCATTTATAAATCAAATTTTAAAAAATATAAATTTTTTATTTAAATAAATTTAAATAAAAAAATAGAATTTTTATTATTTAAATATAAATTCTATATTTTAACAAGTATTTTATACTGTTAGATAGTAGAGAAATCGAGTATTTAAGCATTTACTGTATATCAGTAAAAATAAAAAAATTGCGTTAATTTGGTTTATATATTTTGCCGTTACATTGCGCATGTAAGCTTTAAACTACAGTCAGAAATATATATTATTTTTATATGAATTTATTAATTATAATAAACATACATTATGTCTAAAATTTAATTAAAATAGCACTCTCTAATTAACATCTTAAATGAAGAAGTAATTAAATCGGGTCCCGCCGCCATCTTAAATAACGCGCGACGGTAAATAATCGATTTTGAGCGCGTCGCGTTGAATCAAATTAAATAATTTATAAAAATTAAAATAATAAGTATGTTTACAAAATAATTGACTATATCTATTCGCAATAGTACTGTAAAACACATCGTACTTATAGTTTAGCATTTCTGATAACAATTAATTAATTTTTGAATTTTTTTATATTTTATATATAAAATGCGAATAAAAAAACATAAATGCGTAAAACTTAATTTAAAAAATATCTGCAACTTCAGAAAACACATATATATTATAATCTATCAAAAAAAGTTAGTTAATAATAATTAAAATCGAGAAAAAAAATAAAACTTTCGAGGTAAAATAATTTCTGTGGTAAAAAGTGAGGTAAGCGATCACGTGACGCCCGTCTCCCCATCGTCTATAACCAAAACGGCCGAGGGTGAAATAAAAGCGAAAACATCAGTAGAAGTAAAAACAAACATCGGCGCGTATCTAGGACTATATATTTGAACGGGAGCGAAGATGAAACACGACACTTTGTAATTTATGATAATTACCTTCTAATATTAAAAAATTAAAATCATCAAAAAATTATAACAAAATTAAAATTTTTTGACTAAACTCGACTACAAACATATCTTAGAACTGGATTAAAGTAAAAGTACCCGTTTTTCGACGCTAAATTTTTATTAATTAATTTTTTAAATTGGTGCCTATTTGACCGAGCGCGCGTAATTTAAATTTGACGGAGCACGCGCGTGCCGACGGGTAATTAAGTTTCAAAACAAATTTTGAATTGTTAAGCTTAGAATAGAACAACAGCTTAACCCACTAACTTTAGATCAAATTCCATACTATACAAATCAATAACAACTGTACATTTTAAAGGTTTAGTATCTCCATTTACTATAATTATACATTACAAAATTGTAAAACCAACTTTCAATTAGTTCATTCAATCTTTAACACTTAAGGTTGTCATTCATTTAAATGAGAAAAAATACTCAATTTAAAGTAACAAGTAGAAATTACAATGAAACTAAATGTCATTCCCAAATTTAATATGGTATGTGTTAGCCATTTAACTCCAATTACTTGCAATCAACATGCAATTTGAAATTGCACAATTTCATTTCTGCAAGTGTCGGACAGAAGAAAGTTGGAACGAATAAGATTAATAAATCTTAAGAGTTATATTTGTCGGTCGATACGAGAATACTTAATGTTGTTTCAGTATTAAATTATAAAATGTAAATTAAACTTTTAAGAATATATATTTTATCTATAAATATATGCTTCTTTAAAGCAGAACTTTCACCTCTCAACACATTTAAGATAACAGAGACCTCAAGCTTTAAATCTTTACATATATCTAAGAAACTATCAGCTTTGAGAACCAACGGTTCTCAAAGTACAATCCAAGGACCACTAGCAGTGTGTGTGCCAACCTAGTCACTAGTCACTTTTCCAAAATGTAATATCGTATGCCATTTAACCAGAGAAAACATACTCGTGCATCACATATATCTTATTTTAATTTATTGGACAGAAAACATTATGGTATGTATATAAGATGATAATTAGAAGATTAGACAAGGGCAGAGGTGATCCACATTTTGTCTGTAATTTGGTTTAAGTGGTCTGCAGGTCTAATAAGTTTGAGAATCATCATTTTAGAGTAATACTTGAAAAAACATCATGAGAACAACACATAAATCATCTTAAAAACTGCATTATTTTTGATTCTATCCATTTTTAATTTCAATAAATAAATAACCAACATACCTGCGTTTCCAAATCTGCCAATTTTGAAGTGAGCGACTCTGCACGGGTCTTGAAGGTTCTCAGTTCATCGCGAACGTTATGAGAACTATTAGTGTACTGATCCACTAACTTCTGCAGATCTGTCATCTGAAAGAGTAATGATAAGGTTTAAAATAATTAATAATGTACGCTATGACCTAAATAATTTCTCCAACAGTTAAAATACTGGTCCTTGAAGCACAATTAACACAATATACATTTTATTAAAATATTACAATTTGTTTTCAAAAATTTAACTTCAATCTACATTCTTTGCATTGTAAAGCCTCGTGAATGGTTTAAATCTAAAATTATGCAAATAAGTGTTGACATATTTTATCCTGCAATATCTCATTTGCACACGATAAAACATTAACTCATTTTTCTGTCCAGTAAAGATGGCAAAAATATAATTTATTTTTAAACTCTTTCTGCCATGTAGGCACTAAGCAGGCCCATTTTTAGTCAGCCCACTAGTTAGATCATGGTCCAACTTATCTGAATGGATGGCCCCTGAAAACTCCCAAGGATTTTCAATCCATCTGGATTTGATTCTGGTCCCCAGAGTGGTAGATGAAGTTTTAACATCCCATTCATCCGGCCGTCAACATGTGTAATCAATGTACATAGGAGGGCAATACGAGGCACATCAGTAAGATAATGAAATATGATACTAAAAGCTTTAGTTTTATTGCATAACAAGGTTTTGTTTACACTAATTACTTGACGACCAGTCAGATTTTGAGACAGTTTTCCATCTTGTGGTCAACCCATGCATTAACGTCAATGCAAACCTGGAGCATATCTAAAGTTCTCTAAGTGCTCCAAACATTGTCCTACCACTTTTGATGCAACCTGTATATCGACATTTACACAAAATACAGATAATTGGAAATCCTACTCTCGCTACAACTCGACCCTTGACTTCTGGATTATCAATCGGTTTTATATGTCTCCGTAACCCGTATAAATGTATTAAGCATTGTTTCAAAATCATGCAAATAAAGCTATATAAAAAGATCTTTTATTTACAAGTATGAAGCAGATGAAAAGTCCCCAACACGTTTGTCCCTTTTATGTGTCACTCAGTAGGGAATAAACAGTAAATTAAACTATCAATATTATTTGTGAAATTTTTTAACATTAGTGCGAAAAATAACACCTTTACAATGGAAAACAGTTATAAAATTTTAAAAACATGTCGCATATTATGATACAAATAGTATAGTGTATATATCCACATACATAAAGACACTTGAGAATCAATTCTAAACGTGCCGTATAAGGAAATCGTACTAGCTTGCATACATTTATTCATATACACACAAACATTCATGAATTATTAAGGAATTTTAAATGCATTTTGTCCTCGATACCATATAGACCAGATCCATTAACCGTAAACAATAACCCAACTTAAAAGGAAGATCATACGTACCTTCAACTAATTCAATATCACTACTCTAAACCTTCATTCTAGTATTAAGCCACTATTGTACGTGCTGCCGATAATACATTGTGAGTATATAAATAAAACTGGAACCGTTCCATACTCTACGTTAGACCATGGCACCTTTCCAAAGTAGCTTGCATATCTCAAATAATTTCTAAAGCTTGAAAGTGCATGTATATAGCTTCAATTTTATTTTCTTTACTAATCTCATTAACGATCGTTGTGAAGAAATGAAAGAAAGTCTGCAATCCAGGGTAAAACCTTTGTTTCCCGACGACAAAAATTCTCTTTCGAAGAAACTCGGAATGAATTTTAAAGCTAAACATCTGATTATAGGAATTTACAGCATTCTCCAAATGCCAAAAATGCTAACAAGCTATCAGTAAGTATAGTTTTCTTTTGTTAAAATAAACACTCAAATTGATAAGTATTTTTTGTTAATTGATCCGTAGACAAATCTAGCCGAAATATTGAAGACGACAACATTCAAATTTACTTACTTATTTCTTTTAATTACCAGTAACTACTGTACTTTAACATGTAATAATACACAACTCACTTTTAAGAAAAGAAGTAAAACAAAAAGACAGACAAACAGCTGCGTCATATCTATGTACATTCATCTTTAATTTTGTTGGCACGTTTGTTCCACGAAATCGTCACATGAAGTGAAGATGCACAAATGAAGACTACCGTCGATACGAAAAACATGGAATCGCAAAACCAATCCCCCTAACCCCTATATAAACCTTAGATTCGATTTATACAGTTTCTATTTACACAAGACTTTTGTGAAACAAATTACTATATAAATTAAGATTAGATGTAACAATAATATGTTAGTAATTCATAAAACTGATACTTAATTTAAGAACTTTGGCAAAAATTGAAGGTGAAGATACCCAACCCATTAAACAACCGTGTTCTGGCATTAAAATTCTTTAATAAATACAAATTATAAAAGCAAGTACTTTCAACAGCTTGTTGCCATGTTCGTCAGCCAAGAGATTTTATCAAAATGGAATCTAAGAGATCATATAAAGCTTTATTTCCGTAAATGATTAAATGCTATTTGACACAAATTGTCGTAAAGTATCAAACCCAAATACCAAGACTAGCATTTTAAGGAACAATACTCCAAAAAGATCAACGGGTGGTTTATTCAGGACTCTCTTGCTGCTATTAGTAAGAATTCTCAAATAAATATGGTTCTCTAATCTGTAGTATTTTAGTAAGGACACCTCCAACTGCAAAATGTTGTAATTACGTTCCAACACCTTCTTGGTCAGTTCTACAGCCTTGAATTCATCTGCGAGCATTACGAAAAAATTATATAATTTGTTTTCTCCAAGCATAAATACATATTCTTGTCATTAGAGGATTTTGCATAAAAATAACTGATTTAATAAACAGGGTGAGACTGTGTTTCTGAAAATACAACCAATATGTAACAAAAATGGGGCCTAAGTATGGCCAAGATTGAATAAATACTAATTTCTTTCTTTTTTTAGTGTTATTCTCTATTCCCACAATATACAGTACCTTCTACTATATATTCTTACTGTATATCCCCACCGTAGATACAGACTATAGCTCCATTTGCACCAAAAGTTACAAGGATAAATACAAGCTAGTCCTACACATAAGGACAAATTTATTAAAAAATTTTAATGCCAAAAGACAGTGTGTTAGTTTGATATCAAATGTAACTACAAGTTTAGGAAAAGATAAATTTATCCTTGATTTCTTCATAACAGACAATGTAATATTGCTGTTATTACATTACATACTTAATACTCTTACCAAACTTCAATTTATTATTAAACATTTTTGATTAGATAATTTTAACCTTATTTTTATACATAATCATCATTTATGTATTAAGATGCTCAATGGTTTCTAAGGGCACACCCAGTGCCGTAACTATCCATTCCTGTGCTCTGTGCAAGAATTTGCATTTAGGCCCCTTAATTAATTAGGTTTGGGAAAATAATAAAATAAATACATGCGTTTTGAACCACCCTTCCAAGTGGGCCCTGTGCGGGTGCACCTGTTGCACCTTCCTAGTTACGGCACTGAGCACACCCACACCTAACGGTCAAAAATGCTTAGAGCATAGTTTGGCTTTATTCGGTTTCGAAGTAGGAATGGGAGCTTCCTATTTATTGTATTATAATAAACGCCTTTTGACCTTCTTATGTTTAGTAGAGTTTGTCTCGAGCCAACATGTGAAATGCAGTGTAATGTCGAAAGTTTAGTTGGCACTAGACAATTTCTATGTACAGTAACTTTAATAGGAAAGAATATTCAAATAAAAGGATAATTAAGTTATAATTGTACATAAAAAACAATATTTTAAGTAACTAACCATATCTAATTTTTTGATGATTAAATAAATCTTATACAATTTAATATATCTTTTTTATTCTTTCTGCACAAGTGCACTAACGGCTTTATCAAACAAGTAGCGGCTTTGGCCGAGTTGATGAGAAGGGACTCGATTCAAACACATGCCAAAATTTACAACAGCATTATTTGAAACAGAATATAGAATACCCAATAATGTGAATGACAGTTCTTTCCTGAAGTTAACAGGATTTATTTATTTATTTATCCTTATGATAAAAATCATTGTTTAATGTTCCAAATGTTATAATTTTTTGGATAGAAATAACAAAGTGAAAACAAAAAGTACAGCAACTGCAAGCTAATAGAATAACAAATACACTGTGCATACGAGCTAATTATTGTGCAGGGGTTGTTCAAATCGGCAGTGTTACGAGGCACATCCAGAAAATAAGTATTTGTGTATATCTCCCATGTATTTTGGCAATATCAAGGTCACATATGCACATTTACTTCTACTCAAGAACAGAATAACCAAGCTATATATTTTTTTTTTATGTTGAGGATCGCTAAACACCGATTATCATGTTCAAAACAACCGAGCAGTCCACCAGTTGGGAAGAAGATACAATTGGTAATTAGGTTTTTGAATGTGAGGAGTGTTCAACCACACAAAATTTACAGACTAAATGTGATAAGTGAAGGTATTGTGAGAATGTTTAACAGTGTTCATGACAAAGATTGCATGGCCAGCCATCTCTAGTCAATAAAGGCTTGCTGCACAATGTCAAAGAGAAGATTTGTTCCATTACAGTTAACAATTTCTGATTTCTCTAATATTTCCTGACATTTTAAGATCTTTGTAGCATGATTTAATTGAAATTGTGACTAAATACTTGCACTTCAGCAAGCCATGTTCGAGATTGGTGCCAAAAATTATAGCTGACTTTCCAAAAACAAAATGCATGAGATCGGCCTTAGAACTTTCACAGCACTATGAAGCAATATGAACAGCACACAATACACAAAACTTTCATAGGGAAATAAAGGGGAATAATATGGATTTTTGAAAAGAATTATCACTGGTGATGAAAGGGGAATTTGCTACGTAACACCAGAAAGCAAACAATAATCACTGCAATGTCCAGAAATGGTTTGTCACGGGTGGCAAAATTCTATGAACGAAATATCTGCAATTTAGTGCTAATTTGCATGGTGATTATGTTGAAAAGTAGATGAATCGTGTATAATTTAATGGTAATTAAATAATTTTTCTTTCAATTGCCCACTTTTCTAAATAGCTGAACGGTACTTACTTTCTGGACATGCCTCATAAAAGAAAAACAAATCAAAATGGACCAGAAAACTACTATTTTAGCAATTTTTACATCTTTGTGTTTTATAAAGGGAACAAATTCAAAGTTATAATACACTTATAACAAAGACTCTTACTTATAATGCAAAATCTTGGCAGTGTGACTGTGAACATTGCATATCCCTACACAAATACACACACAAAAAAAATTAATGCTAAAAAATAAATGTGTAGCACATATTAAGTTTGCACATTTCTCGTTTCATTTAGCAGGACCATTTACTTGCAAAATGAACAAAATTGGTTCAGATAAGGGTAGATTTAGACAAGCAAAAGTGCAGTCTTCAAGAGCTAAAACATTAACAAAATTTCATTCTGAAAGGAATTACGGTAATGTTTCATGACGAACAAATGTCAATCTGATATTTAATCCTAACATATTAGTATTAAACCTCATATTTTATAACAAATCTACCATTGGATTAAAATGTTAAGATATTTTTAAAATTGAATAATAGATTTCCTCAAATAAATTGCTCTCTTTTAGCCATTTCTTATAGTTCTGAGTAGTATTGAACTATGATAAATGTTGGAAAGTGTGCAATAGATCCATATATTACAGGAAATTCTACTATCTATAAGCACTTTAATTAAAAATTTTCACAGAGGAATGAATTGTCCTGCTTTAAACCAAAGCATTCAATAAAATGAGTATCTTGTCGGTACAAACTTACATTAATATGGCTTAAAGACAACTTTCAAACATCAAAAACATTTAAAAAAATAAATATACCAATGTATTTTAAACTTTCTGAACATTTATTACATCTAAATATATTACAACACTAAAAAAATTAACATTAATCCCATTTAATTAACTGTTGTTTATCTTACAATAAGACATTTTGTGTGTTTCTTACTTAAAATAAAAATTGCTCCGTACCTTTGTTTCGTATAAATTTTCAATTTCCTCTCTGTTTACTTTCATTTGAACTTCGTACTGTTCCCGAAGTTCTTTCAAAGTATCGGTCAGCTGCTGTTCGTAGTGTTCTTTCAGTCGGTCGTCTATCTCGGAGATTTCGGTCTGTCTGCATATTTTGGTTTCGGAAATTTCCTGAAATATAAACAAATTCGTATAAATTAGCTTAAAATGAAAGTTTTGTGCACACGTTTAATTCCGACGAAAATAAATATACATTATATATTAAAGATTTACATGTACAGGAGAAAAAAAATCCGATTATAAGAGTCAAACCAAATGAATAAGAAAGTACGGAAAAATTTCTGAGCCGTTTTAATCATTAGAAATTTGTTTACTACATAAATTGATGGAAAATAAAAAATGTTTAATATTTTTGGTGTTGCACTAGCAATAGAAAAAAAAAACAAGGGAATTGTAGTGAAATGACATGACTGTTTCTTGTTACTTAAGCATGTTCCATTGAGAATATACATGCCGCAATATTGTCTGCATGGAAATTATTGACTTTTGGATTTAAGCAAGCTTGCATAAAACATTATTTAAAACCACAAATTTATCAAAAAACAAACAATAGAAGTTAATTTCCATAATCAATTTTGTCATTACCCAAATTCTGAACTGTCTTGTGAACATTTAAAATTTTCATCCATTGGTTGAAAGTGTACAAATGTATGAATTTCAAATAAGAGAAGTACGGGTATCCCTCATATAACATGATCTGAAAATTGGGGATATTCCCTATACAACACCGTTTCCATTTTCGTTCTAACGCAGTTCGAGAACTTCGGAAATCCTCTGTACAAAATTTCACACTTTTAAGTACAAACTCCATCATTCAATGTTTTTTCCTTCAAGTAAGCACGTGTGTCGTCTCAAATTTACCCATAGAATTTAGAATATTGAAATTTTCAATTTATCCTGTACCTTTCATTGGGTTTACTTTAATGGAAACTGACAGTGCAATTTTTTTCTTCCCTGTCCAGTCTTTTGTATTGACCGTGTGTCGTCACCGTTGCCTTCAGACTTTAGCATTTAAGATTGTCACAGTGTTTTCTTTTTATACATTAATTTTTGTATTTAGGAAAGTGTTGTTAAACTTTTTTAACCATGGTACTTTTAATTGTGATTGTTAGTTATTTATTGATTGAAATAAATTATCGATTGCTTTAATAAATGTAATGAAAAACAATAGTATACTTTTGTTAACTTGTGGAATCTAACCCTGTTTTCTATTAGTTCTTTGTTTCGTATAGCATGGATTCACATGACATGGCACTTTTTTTGGAACTGCTGTGTTATGCAAGAAATACCAAGCCAAACAATTGCCATAATTAATCGGGTTATTAATATGCTATATTTAATAATTAGAAACTAAGTAATTTGGTACTAAAAGTAGACATTAGCCCAATTAATTGCGGCGAGTGTTTGGCTTAGTATCAATACATCAGGTTTTGAAAAGTTGATATTCATATACAAAGAATATCTATATCAATGTGTTGCAAATGAGGATATTTGATAAGCGATGTTCTAATACTTGGAAGGAGTGTTTCATATCCTGCCACACCAAAAGAATATCATCCACGTATCTTAAATAAATTAAGGGGTAAACTATGGTTAGAGGAAATTTAAAAACGCTGTGTTCAAGGTGCCACATGATAAGCTCTGCCAATACAGCTGACAGCGGTGAGCCTGTCAGCACCTTCTGCTTCTGCAGGTAAATCTTTCCATTGAAACAGAAGTAATTGTGCTCCGTAATGAAGAATAATGCTTCACAAACTTCTAAAACTTGCTGTGCAGTAAAGCCCTCTTTGATAAGCAAGGTATTGGCAAGCATCACCACCTCGAAGTGCAGAACCAAAGGGTACAACGCAACGACATCCATTTTATAAAATGTGTAGGTGTCTGGATTCAAGCCAGCCAGCGTAGCGCATAAACTTTCTTTAGCCGTGACAGATGAGGACACTACTTGGGAGGAGGAAGGAAGTAGCCCACCTAGGAATCTAGCAAGTGCTTTTTCAAGGAAGTAGGGTGGGACCTCTTCCTTTCTCCTCCCATGTAGTGTCATCATCTGTCACGGCTGAAGACATTTGTAAATTTAATGCAAAAAAGTAACAAATCACCTATATATGTATATAGATTGTTTGGTACATTTTATCATTTATTCATGTTTTTCTTTATGTACATATTTTGTATTTTTTTTGTACAGCATAACAATTAAAGGAACTAAATCCTTTGATATGCAACAGAACAAATGTTTTCTGCTAATTTAATTCACTATTATTGGATTCCGATCAGAAACAAAGTAGATATCAGATTCTAGATTATATTAGTAATCTTTTAATTTTACAAAACTCCAACAGATTGAATGATATGTAAATGTTCAGTTAATAACTAATGATCTTAAAATGAAACTTTTTAAGACATATATGTAGTAAGCATTACAAGAGTAACTTAGTTTAAACCTTAACTTACATAATTTAAAGACATTTCGGAAAGAAAGTATAATTAAAAGATGCATTTGCATACTACCTTTAATGTAATTTACTGTCAAAGCTAATTAGAAGCATGCATTATCCAAGGAAGATCTCTATCTCATGTAATAAGTGTGATAACAATCATTTTTAAGGAAACAAAATTAAGAGTATAATATAATTCAGATAAAATATGATAAACATCTTAAATAAAGTAAGTACAATAGTGCTATTAAGGTTCTATTAAGGTCAGATGCACTTACAAACTGCATTTCCATCGTGTTTACTTCTTACCATTTATTTAATGAGAAAAAATAATCATCATTATAGAGTGGAAAAACAATACTTCATATTAATATTCTATTCCATTAAATCACAGCTGTGCACCTTACTTCAGTGAGCTTCTAGAACAATGTTTCCCAAAGTGGTTCCTATTGACGGTAGGAACCACTCTGGGGGTCCTTGAAACCGCCGATTGGGTCTGTGGAAAATTAAAACTAATTTGGGGGTGCATGAACAACATCAAAGGGTCTGCAAAAGGTTTAATAAAAAGTAAAATACAGTTGTCCCTCTATAGTCCGATGTTTTTTAATCCGACATGCTCAGTAGTCCGACGCACCTCCCGTCAAGGTACCCATCCCCGTTACGTGTCTGCTTGCACAGAAGCATGTTGCGATGTGAATCTCCCCATCCAATTCTTACTCGATGACACACATTTCGTGTGTTTTATGTGAGCAGTTCTGTTCGAACAGTTGGAGTAGAGAATATTGTAAGTTACTGCTAGCAAAACAATGCGAAATATGTAATTATTTTCGGTAATCCAAACACTTTTGGTAATCTGACACACCTTTGGTCCCATACCTGTCGGATTATCGAGGGACAACTGTAATTGTCACCAATCTTCATGTTTGTTTTGTTAAGTTACAGAAATGCAAACCTCGGGCAATCTGCCTAGGTAGAAGGCCTTCCGGGAGGTCTTTTGAAGAGTAACCGACATTACAGACGTGGAGAAAACCTGGAAAACTTCACTTGGCCAGCCCGTCATGGCTAGGCGCAAATCCACAACCGAACTTCCAGTGTTCGGGAAACGGAACAACTTGACCATTAGTAGGCCTCATTTTCATTATTATGAAAGTTAAAAATAAATAGTAATAAGTAAATTAGTAGTCATTTTTGCATCCTGAGTAAGATATAAGTATAGATAAATACATAAAATACAAGTAAGGACAAGAATTGCCAGGTGGAAATACTAGGTAAAGCTTGCCCATTTTGAAAATGGGCTCCGTGCTTCATTTATTGAATACATTATTTGACATTTTAGAATTTATTTTGTTTGTTTA